CCCCCCCCCCATCAACCCGGCAAATCCCACAGCACCCCCCTCCACCCCCATCAACCCGGCAAATCCTCTCAACGCAGGAGAGAAAGTAACAGTGCCTGCGCCAGTGAGGACCATTTCTACTTTCTGCCTACCCAGGCGCTTGATGACAAATGCTGAGTAATTGACAAGGGGTCTCTGTTGTTCTGCTTAAAGCCACCCCACACCGGGCTCCGGCTTAACTGACCCATCAATCAATCAGGGTTGAATCTGTAGCTCCACCCACCATTCCATCCAGGGTCACAGGGACATTAAAGGGACTCACAGACCCCAACGTTCTTGTCAATGTGACCTGACAAAGCTTAATTCAGATAAATTTGGAAAGGCAAATCAGGGCAGGACTTAATGGTAAGTGTTGCCAAACAAAGAAACCTTGGAGTGCAGGTTCCTTGAGGCTGGAGTCGCAGGTAGACAGGTTAGTGAAGGTGGTTTTTAGTATGCTTGCCTTTATTGATCAGTGCATTGAGTATAGGAGTTGGGAGGTCATGTTGCGGCTGTACAGAAAGGGTTCAGAAAAAGTTTACCAGGATGTTGCCGGGATTGAAGGGTTTGAGCTACAGGGAGAGGCTGGTGACCTTAAAGAGGTTTATAAAATCATGATGGGCATGGATAGGGTGAATAGCCAGGGTCTGCTTCCCAGGGTAGGGGAGTCCAAAATTAGCTTGTATCCCACACACAGGGCTCACACTAAGACAATGAGGGAAGGGAACTCCATGCTGTTGACTAGCAGTCTGAAATTTACAAGCAACATATTGATCTCAATAATTAACAAGCAGCTCTAAGCAAAAAAAAAAATCAAAAGAACTGCAAAAGATGCTGGAAATCTGAAACAGAAACAAAAATCACTAGAAAATTTCAGCAAATCTGGCAGCATCTGTGGAGAAAAACCCTGCCTCAGAACAAGCAGCTTTAGTTACTCATCTTCTCTTGGAGTAAAGCGGGGGCAGCAACTAAACAATGGCTCTAGAGCCCATCAGCAGTGACACAGGAATGCCACCAGCGCTATAAAATACTCAGAAGTCAGCAAAAACACTCATCGTTAACAGATTCTGCTGTGTCAGATTGCTTACCACTCAGCATCCAGTTCTGTCAGTTTAGCCACATTGTAACAGAGTTGAACCTCCAGGACTGTACACATGGGGTAGGCTTCACTGAAAATGGGAAACGAAGTGAGTATAACGAAGGTTAATGAAAACGAGCCCATCTCCGGGTGTGCCCATACCTCAGTCTCTTCACCATTTATACAAGTTGTAACATTAAGCACTGACCCCCGTGGCATATTGCATCTTGCAGAGCAAAAACTGACCCACTGATGCCTGCTCTCTGTTTTTTATTAACCGGCCAATCTTTAATCCACGCCAATATGTTACCCCTTATACTCGGTGCTTTTATTTTCCACAATAATCTTTGATGTGGCTCCTTCTTCTGGAAACCCAAGTACATCAAGTGGTTCCCCTTCAACCACAGCACATGTTGCTTCCTCAAAGAACTCCTGGAAGTTGACTCTGATGATTACGTTGAACTTTTCCAAGTCCCCTGCTATAAAATCTTTAATAAATCTTCCCAATGACAGATGTTAAGCTAACTGGTTTGGCGTTTCCCGCTTGCTGTCTCCCTCCCTTTTTGAATAAACAAGTCACATTCACTATTTTCTAATGTAAATGAACTTTCTCTGATTCTGGGAAGTTTTGGACAATTAAAACCAATGCATCAACCATCTCAGTAGCCATTTCTGTTCAGACCAGATACTGAAATCTGTCAGGACCCAGGAACCTGTCAGCCACAACTCCAAAACTTTTGTCCAGTTTCACTTCCTGTCCATTTGCTGATTTACAGCTATTTCCAAAATGCCACTTATATCCTCTAGAGTGAAGATGTTTACAAATTCCCTGCTCAATTCACCTGCCATCTCCATATTTTCTGTTATTAATTTGTGAGATGTACTTTTTAATGGGACCAACATTCAGTTTAACTCATTATTATTATGTTTGACCTAAGAAACTGCCTATATTCATATTTCTGGTTTGCTTTCTCTCATTAACAAAATTATTTTCCCTCATTATTAATCATTTTATCATACTTTGCTAGATTTTTTATATTCTGTCCAATTTTCTGACCTGTCACCTAACTTTCTACAATCATATACTTTCATTTTGACAAAAACAAAGTTGCTGGAAAAGCTCAGCAGGTCGAGCAGCATCTGTAAAGAGAATTCAGAGTTAACGTTTCGGGTCCGCTGACCCTTCCTCTGATTTTCTCTTCACAGATGCTGCCAGACCTGCTGAGCTTTTCCAGCAACGTCTGTTTCTGTTTGATTTACAGCATCCGCAGTTCTTCCGGTTTTTGCTTTCTTTTTACGTTACATACTAGATTTAACTTTTTAATTAGCCATGAATGGTGTATACTCCAGTGGTATTTTTCCTTCTTACTGGAATGCATGTACCCTGTGTTTTCTAAACTACTCACAGATGTCTGCCTGTGTCTCTATTGAGCTATCCTTGAATCCAATTCAGCAGTATGCTTTAGCTGGTTCCGTTTTTGTGCCCTCATCATTGTCCCTATTTAAGTTTAAAACACTAGTCTTGGACCATTCTTCTCTCCCTCAAACTGAATATAATCATGTTATGTTAATTAGATCTTGACTGACCGAGTTGTGGATACAGCTCCATAATCCCGCATACCTCCAACAATTTCTGAACTCTTTGTTCATCAAAATCCTATTTACTTCTGCCTTAAGAACAGTCAATGACCCTGCCTCAGCTATGACTCATGACCCTCAGAGAGAAAATAAAATTTACTTCTTAACTCATCTTAAATGGGAGACCCTTTAATTTTAAACTGTGTCCCTCTAGTTGTACCCACAGGGTACATGCATTCCAATAAGAAGGAAAAATACCACTGGAGTATACACCATTCATGGCTAATTAAAAAGTTAAAGCTAGTATGAAACGTAAAAAGAAAACAAAAACCGAAAGAACCGCGGATGCTGTAAATCAAACAGAAACAGACGTTGCTGGAAAAGCTCAGCAGGTCTGGCAGCATCTAGTCTCTCCCAAAAGGGGAAATATCCTTTCAGGCATCCACAGAGATAAGTCCTCACAAGATCTTATATGTTTCAAGATCACATCTCGTTTTTATGTATTCCAATAGATACAACCTGTCCAACCTTTCAGCGTAAAATAATCCCAAACCCCCACCCCACATCCCAGGGATCAGTCAAGCGAACCTTCTCTGAACAGCTTCTAACACATTACAGCTTTTCTAACACAAGGAGACTACACCAGATATAGTCTTACCTGTACATCTCTAGCAAAACTTCCCTATTTTTATGATCAATTCAGCCAAAAAACAACAATATTTCATTTGCAGTAAGACACACACCTCTTAGGGCCACCTACCGGAAATGCCCAGCGATGATCTCCTCACTGGCCACCTCAGGTATTCTGCTAATAAATAAAGTGCACTTCACCTGGAGAGACAGGGGCAGGTTAGAGCAGACATCCAGATCAAAACATTAATACTCTTTGCTCTTCACATTCCAGTTTACTGTTATATGGAGTATATTGCTACAACTGCACCAGGCATTGGGATCAGCAAAAGTCCAATATTTGGAGCAATCTGTAGAATCTGAGATTCGTCTGTTTCTCATAGTCAGCTCAGCTGTAGCTTGGGTGCATCTAGTGAGGATGGTTGTCCAGTTTTCTCTGAGCATGCGTACCTAACCTCAAGGCCACGACTTCAGAGGGATGCTAAATTGAAAGCTACTCTCAGTGAACTCTGAAATTATTGTTGATTGTTGTAAAAACCCATCTGGTTCATATTGCTAGTCAGAGAGTCATAACCACAGTGATCTGCAGCACAGAAAGGGTGCTTAAGCACAAGCAGGTCTATCATCCTTAACCATTCTGACCTACATGTGATTCCAGATCTGTAGCCAATGTAGCTGTTTCTTAACTGCCCTCCAAAATGGCCTTAGTTAGCCCCTCAGCAAATAGAGATGGGCACCACATGCCCTTGCCTGTGATGCCCACATCCTATGAAAGAATCAAAAAAATTCTAGATTGCAACAATTGTTGGCATTGAAGAGATAACGCATTGTTTACTGGTCTTTTGCAAACTTTTATCATTTATACACAGGGTGACGGCATCATCGGCTGGACCAGCATTTATTACCCATCCCTAATTGCCAAGAGGGCAGTTAAGAGTCAACCACATTGCTGTGGGTCTGGAGTCACATGTAGGCCAGACCAGGTAAGGATGGCAGATTTCCTTCACTAAAGGACCAGATGGGCTTTTCCCCAACAATTGACATTGTTATTAAACTTTGAATTCTGGATTTTTATTGAATTCAAATTCAAACCATCTGCAGTGGCAGGCTTTGAAGCTGGATCATCAGGACATTACCTGGATCTCCAGATTAACAGTCTAGTGATAAAGCCACTAGGCAGTTACCTCTCCATCCTGAGTCTGTGTCTACCAACCCTTCTGCTACAGAAAACTCATCTTCCTTGCCTATGGCAGCAAACTGTGTGAGGATAGAATGGGAATTCAACAAATAGACCATGCAGTATTGTGGCTGTGGGAGGCCAGCTGTCCCATCTAAGCAGATTTATCTAAAAAAGTAGCTGAGGTGTGGCACAGATCATGTAAGGACAGTGCAGGCTCATATGCCTTATACAGCCTCTCAGAGAGACAACTGAGCAACTGGGTAAGATGTTGGAGTTTTAAACAGCAGTCCCTTGGGACAATGAGGAAGCAACAAAGAGTTGAGGGCACGAACTTACCACGTCATCCTCTCTGTCCTGCAACTTCGAAGTGTGGTGCCTCAAGACGAAGATGGTGAGGAGCAGATAGATCACACCAAAAATGGTGTGAAGCCACAGCAAGTTATTCCTGCAACATCAAGTGAAAATCAGACCACCAAAATCATCACATTTCACAGGCACTTCATCGTCATGATGGGTGCCAAATTGTGGTTTAAATTCAGAGGTTTTGTTGAGCCCAGCCCTATTTCAAACCCAGTGTAATCTGACACTGATCCACATAAGAACTAAGGGTTGCCAACTGGGATCAAGTCTATTCCTGAAGGTTCAATCACGTGACTTCTCCCGGCGTTCCGGCCTATGTCTGTCCTGTGACACACTGCCTTCATAAACCAATTGGAGATCAAACCAACTCACTACCCAGACAACATCTCCTCCCTTTATCAGTATTTTTAGATCTGGTAAGGAAACATTTCCAAAGGAAATTGGAAAATAAAATGCAATTTTAATGTGTCGATAATTTTTATTAAAGATTGCACACAGCTGTGTCCTGGAGACTCGACACCAATCCTAGAGGTCCCGGCGTGACACCATCAATGGGAGGCCCAGGGCCTATATAGGGCACGACTGACAGGAGGCCTAAGGTCTGTACATGCAGGAATGACAGGGCATTTAGGGCCTGTACAGGGCAGGACGGATGGGAGGCCTAAGGTCGACATAGGGCAGAACATACAGGAGGCCTAGGGCCTATATATGGCAGGACGGACGGGAGGCCTAAGGCCTATATAGGGGAGGACTGACAGGAGGCCTAGGGTCTGTACATGTAGGAATGACAAGGTTTAGGGCCCGTATAGCGAAGGACTGACAAGAGGTTTAAGGCTTGTGTAGGGCAGGGCTGACGGGAGATCCTAGGCCATATCCATATCAGAATTGGCAATCCCATGCTACGGACGCCTTTATTTTTCTCAACAAAACTATCAAGTAATTTATAAATCAGAGTTTTTCTTTAAATCCTTTATGTGTTTAAATTCATAGGGACTTCAGCACCAGATAGTGATTAGCAGCAGGAAACGAAACTAACTTTGGTCCAATAGTCCTGGATCCACAGGCCTAAAACAGGGTTCCCAAATGGAGATCCATTTCCAGGGCACTGCAACCCTGGAGGAAACTCATAAGCCACGTTTAAAAAAATTGTCACTTTCCTAAACATTTCTCTTCATCACACTTAAAAATATTGAAAATAGGTGAAGAAAAGTGAAGGGACAATTGGGCAATGAGACTTTTTGCTTTCTGATTGACGTAGGCAAGACTCCATGTGTTGGCTGGAGCTGGGGGTAGGGGGTGTCATGAGGTGATGCTACTACAAGAATTAATTACAGTTAGCAAGACTAACCTAGAGGTGAAGAGTTCAAATCTCACTTTAGCATATTAGAAAACTTAATTTAGGAGGTACAGAGTAGACCAAGAAAATGGCTATATCAAAAAATCACAACGGGTTTATTAACATCACCTTGGTCTGGTTATGTGTGACTCCAAACCTTACTGTTAGTTTTTAATGAACTCAGCACAAGTGGAGAAGGGTAATATATTCTGCTTTTTCAGTTTCATCCACAACTTGGGACAAAACAGATAAAGTGCCGAACTGTCTCTCAGTGAGGTTTTCCACACAAGGAAGTTTCTAGATTCGTTTCTTGGAAAAGACAGGAAGCTGAGGTTGAGGATGATCAGATTTGTCATGATCTCATTGAATGATGGAGCAGACTCGATGGGCTGAGTGGTCTCTTGCTGCACTGATGTTTTCTGGTCTGTATGGAATTGGTTGGTCTCAGCTGACTGCAAGGAGGGAAGGGAGATTATTTTTTTCTCTGTGTCTTGCTATTGCCACAAAATGATAAACTGACTCATTTGACAGATGAGAAAAGCCATTTAGCCCAAGTTAGTTCACCCATCCTGGCTGCCCCTCATATTCAGAATACCATATGATTGATAAATGATTTCAAGGCTTCTGGCTCTGTTATTCCTTTGGTAATCAGTTACATGTCTTGATCACACTGTGTATGATGATGAACTTCCTAACATCAATCCTAAACTTGCCTTTAACCGAGTCGGAGAGTCATAGAGCTGTACAGCACGGAAACAGACCCTTCGTTCCAATTCGTCCATGCCCACCAGATATCCTAGAAAAATCTAGTCCCATTTGCCGTATCCCTCTAAACCCTTCCTATTCGTGTACCCATCCAGACGCCTTTTAAATGTTATAATTGTACCAGCCTCCACCACTTCCTCTGGCAGCTCGTTCCATACACGCACCACCCTCTGTGTGAAAAAGTTTCCCCTTAGATCTCTTTGGTATCTTTCCCCTCTCACCTTAAACCTATGCCCTCTAGTTTTGGACTCCTCACCCCCCCACCAGGGAAAAGACCTCGTCTGTTTACCTTATCCATGCCCCTCATTATTTTATAAATCTCTATAAGGTCATCCCTCAGCCTCTGAGACTCCAGGGAGAAAAGCCCCATTCTATTCAGCCTCTCCCTGGAGCTCAAACCCTCCAACCCTGGCAACATCCTCATAAATCTTTTCTGAACCTTTTCTAGTTTCACAACATCCTTCCTATAGCAGCGAGACCAGAATTGAACATAGTATTTCAAAAGTGGCCTGACCAATGTCCTGCACAGCCGCAACATGAATTCCCCCTCCTATACTCGATGCACTGACCAGTAAAGGCAAGCGTACCAAACGCCTTCTTCACTATCCTGTGACTCCACTTTCAGAGAACTATGAAGCTGCACTCCAAGGTCTCTTTGCTCAGCAACACTCCCCAGGACCTTACCATTAACTTTATTTACCCTTAGCTCCCACGCCCTAATCTCTAATCTACTAGAACTCACTATCTATCTATACATCTCAATAAGGTCTGACATGCTTATAATTTCCGGGTGGAATACGCAGACTCGGAGTAAAGATCTAGAATATTGCTGAAAAGGGAACTATAACGTAAGCATTCTCTACAAACAAAAGGAATATGGCCAAACCTTGCAGCCTTTTTTTTAAATTTCCCAGAAATCCAATAGATCCCCTACTGCTGTATCCATGGCAACCCGTCACCCAGAGTCAACCAGTCAGCACCCTTTATCCTGTAGATATAAGTTGTTGTCATTGTTTGAAATTTAGCATTCTTCTGAAAGATGAAAAGCTTTGACAACATGTATCTGTCTTCAGCAACAGACAGTCCAGGCTGCAACACTATGTGATGGAATAGCCTTTATACACACAGGGATGGAGAGGACTGATAAAGGATGGCCACTGACAAGTAATGACAGGTCTAGGTGATTTCTGCAGCAAACCAACATCATCCACATTTGGTCATTCAATCCCAACTCAACACTTACTTGGTCTTCATGTTCCCTATTGTCGTCCTTCCAAAGCTTTGAGGATTTCGGTCTGCAAGTGTTAAAAATAGAACGGGAGTTGTAATTTTCCAACATTCCGTGCCATGTCAAACACACAGAGAGATTTGCGATGAGGGTCAGTAACGAGCGGACTCCATTTGCTATCAGTACAGTGTACAAATGAACAACAATGAGGAAGACTGTTGCCACAAGAACTTGTTTGTGTAGCATTTTTCACAAACTCCGCATGTGCCAAAGCACTTGACAGCCAATTAAGTGTTTTTAATTAATTCACAGTGGGTCTGCATTAGCTCAGTCAGCTGGACAGCTAGTTTGTGATGCAGAGTGTGTGGGCTTCCCATGTAGATGCAACAAGGCACAACAATGCCTCTTCGTCCTCAGGCAGCTCTGGAAATTTAGCATGTCCATAAGGTCCTGCACCAACTTTTGCAGGTGCGCCAGTGAAAGCATAGTGACCGGGTGCTAAAAGTGTGTGTCCAATTCCCACCACTGTGACGGACTCTGCTTTTCAACCTGTCCCCCCACCTGAGGCACAGTGACCCTCAGCTTAAACCACCACCAGTCACCTCTCTCTAATGGGGGAGCAACCCTATGGTCTAATGAAGCTACAGCACTTTACCTTACCTATATTACTGCTAAGATCAGTACCTCATGGTCATCCCTGACTGCTCTTTCGAAGGTTAGCTGCCTTCTTGAATGAGAGGCTTGCTAGGCCACTTCAGAGGACAGCTAAGAGCCTGCCAATATAAAATTAGGAAATTTAACTGCAATGTATTGATTGGCAGAATAGGGCCAATGGTCTCCTCCCATTTATTTAGAGTCATAGAGTTGTACAACATGGAAACAGACCCTTCGGTCCAACCTGTCCATGCCAACCAGATATCCTAAATTAAACTAGTCCCATTAGCCAGCGTTTGGCCCATATCCTTCTAAAACCTTCCTATTCATGTACCTATCCAGATGCCTTTTAAATGTTGTAATTGTACCTGCCACCACCACTTCCTCTGGCAGCTTATTCCATCCACCACCCTCTGCATGAAAATGTTGACCCTTAGGTCTCTTTTAAATCTTTCCCCTCTCACCTTAAATCTATGCCCTCTAGTTTTGGACTCCCCTAGCCAGGGAAAAGACCCTGGCTATTCACCCTGTCCATGTCCCTCATGATTTTATAAACATCTATAAGGTCACCCCTTCAGCCTCCAACGCTCCAGAGAAAATAAACCCAGCTTCTCCCTATAGCTCAAATCCTCCGACCCCAGAGACATCCTTGTAAATCTTTTCTGAACCCTTTCAAGTTTAGCAACTCATTAGACTGCTCACCATCTCAGAATAAAGACGTTTCTCCTTTATTCCCAATTGGAATGACAATCTTAACTTTAAAGGCCACTGGTTGTGGCCTCTCTCACAAACAGTAACATCTTTTCCATATCCAAACTATTGAACTCTTTCAGAAATGTGAAGACCTCTACCAGTTCACTGCTCAGCCTTCTCTTTTCTACAGGAAGGAACCTTAATCTGTTCTGTTCACCAAACGCCACCTACCCAGCAAACTGCCAGACAGGTTCACAGGTAAAATGATGGCCACAGACATGATACTTATTGCTACCAGCAGGACGATGAGGTGACGTTGGAAAGATAAGTAGTGGATAGCATCCTCTCCACAGTTCTCCCGCATCTCACTGTCCCTGCAAGAAACACAAAAATGGAGGTGGGTGAGCAGAGCCTGGGAGGACCAACAGGCAGACAGACCTGTGCTTTCATTGCCCCTCACCTGACCTCTCAAAAACCTCTCAATCACTGAGCTACTAGAACTGTCAATATTGGCTCAGTGGTAGCACTCTGCAGCCCCTTTACCTCCTGCCCCACCCATTAACTCAACACGTTGGCTTTGTTAGAAACTGTAACACCCAGTACCTGTCCCTAACGCACCCCCCGCCCCAAGGAGAAAGTGGAAGAAATCTCTTCTAGCAGTTGGCCCAGTAATTTCAAAGGACATAAGAACATAAGAAATACGAACAGGACTAGGCCATTTGGCCCATCGACCCTGCTCCGCCATTCAATAAGATCATAGTTGATCTCATAGATCATAAAATTCCTACAGTGTGAAAACAGGCCATTCAGTGCACACAGACCCTCCAAAGATCATCCCACCCAGACCTATCCCCCTACCCTATCACTGTTACCCCTGCATTTCCCCATGGCTAAAGCCCCTGATCTTCTTGTGGACTCAGTTCCACTTACTCGCCCGCTCACCATAACCCTTAATTCTCTTACTGTTCAAAAAACCTTAAAAACATTCAACGAGATAGCCTGAAAAAGGCTCCCAACCCAAAATGTCAGCCTTCCTGCTCCTCTGTTGCTGCTTGGCCTGCTGTGTTCCTCCAGCTCTACACCTTGTTATCTCAGACTCCAGCATCGGCAGTTCCTGCTATCTCTCAACGAGGTAGCCTTGACTGCTTCACTGGGCAGGGAATTCCACAGATTCACAACCCTTCATTTGAAGAAGTTTCTCCTCACCTCAGAGATAGTAAGAACTGCCGATGCTGGAGTCAGAGATAACACAGTGTGGAGCTGGAGGAACACAGCAGGCCAGGCAGCATCAGAGGAGCAGGAAAGCTGACGTTTCGGGTG